AGTGAAATCGAGTTTTCAGCTTTGGTTAGGCTTTGGCGTTGACCTCACATTTTCCGACAAAACTTTGTTGCCAAGAGTTTTCTTTCATACGAAGCATAAACCATAAAATGTTTGTAAAACAGCAACTTAGATTTATAATCGGATACCTTTAGAAACAAATACATATATTATCTGAATTACTAATATAATGTAAAAAAGGATAAGCTAATATCGTTTAAGATCATAAAATATCATCATATTGTTAATAGACATATGAAATTATTAATTCAGTTTAGTTAGTTTTTTTTATTTTAAATGTTAAAGGTTTTTATTTTAGTTATCTATCGATATTTCAGTATAGTTACCTATCGCTACTTAACTATAGTTAACTATCAGTATTTAACTATAGAACTATCGGTATTTAACTACAACTACGATACTTTACTATGGTGCTATCCCCTATTCCTTATTCTATTATATTTCTAACTTAATCCTATTAATTATTCCTTATTATAGTATATTCAAGAATATTTTAAGCTCATCACATTCGGATAAACTTTAGACACTACCAAAACCATATAGAATTATGAAACTTAAATTTTCCGTTTGTGGAAAAAGTAAAGCTTAGGCTTTGGGGTCTACCATTTTATATGCATAATTAGCTTAGGCAATTAAGTTCGATTTTGATCAAGTTTGAATGGCGGAAAAAGAAAGAAATGTGCAGCTGTTCCTGCTGAATTTGCTCCTTTCCGTTTAACAATTTTATTGATTTTATAATTTATTTATTTGCTTCGAGTTTGAGTTTGAGTTGAGTTGCAGTTTGCTGCTGTCGCCCACTGTAATTAATTTGATTTTAATGCCTTTTCGAGTGCTGCTTGCCCGTCTTCTGCAATTGTGAACAAACTTTAATGACCGTCGCAGCAGACGTCGCGCTGCTAATTTCGCCAATTTGCAGGCAAATGCAGCCGCAACATTTACAACATCGGCGACATCGGCAACAACAGCAACAACAGCAGCAACAGCAGCAACAACATGATGCGGCTTGTGGCAACGCCCGCTCCGGCTGCCACTCATTTTGCAGCGCTACTTAAAAATTAATTTTGTTAATGAGTTTTTCACGGTGCTTCAACTTGCAACCGGCAAAGCCGGCAACTGGCAACTAGAAACTGCCAGCTTGCAACGTGCAACAAGGCAAACTATTTACCTGTTTAGCTTGGCTCCTGCTCCTTCTCTGGCTTCTGCTCCTGCTCCTGCTGTTGCTGCTGCTGCTCTGTCCACTTCAATTCACAATTCGAATTCGTTCGTCTTTAGTTTTTAAGACAAGATAGCTTTGTTTTTCCCCATTTTCATGTACCTTATATACCAATGCCATTTTTATTGGTTATATTAGTTTATTGGTTATGTATGTAACGGGCAGAAGGAAAAGCTTGACCTACCTGACCTGGATTAATATGACAGCTACTGACTATCCATATCTTCATCTATCTTTCTATCTCTCTACATATCTATATCTATCTATCTATCTGTCTGTCTGTCCATCCATCTATCGCTCTATCAATCTATCAATCTATCTATTTATATGGATCGATCTAATATCTATCCATCTATCTACCTATCCATCAATGTATCTATATCTACATATATTTATATTCTATTCGTCGGTCTATATATCTATCTATCTATCCATCTATCCATGTATCTATATCTTTATTTGTATATCTCTCCTTCTGTCTTTTTGTCAATCAATCTATTTATATGTGCATCTATCTATCTATCTATGTATCTAAATATATCTACCTGTTTATCCACTGAGTTCGGCAAATATAAAAGCTTTCGATGGCTAAGTGTTTGAGTAGAGAAATGCATTTTATAATGTGCTAAAAATTTGAACACACCTTTCGCCCTTAAAAAAATTCTTAGTAAATCGTTGGACTCTCTTACATATGCACAAAGCTAGAATATTTAAATGCCGTTCTTTGTTGGGCTTAGGCTATCAGCTAGTCAGTCACTCTTGACTACTGAATTTGAGTTTAGTTCTTTTTTGTTTTTACTAATATTTCTACCACCACATTTTGCAGTGAATCGCTGAGCGTGCAATGTTTCCACTGGGTACTGACACGCATGCAACATGACATGGACATGATTCTGTGCGACAAGAAGCAGGCGCGTCTCTGGGCCAAGCGGCTGCATGTGGCCCTTTTGGTAAGTAAATGCTACGCTATGCATGCAAGCTAAGCTTCAATCTGAGTTGAGTCTACCAGTGTGTGTGTGCAAGTGTGTGTGTGTGTGTGTGTATTAGCTTGTCGTTGTTTGCCGTTGCTTATGTAAGTGCACTTTGCAAAATCTGAAACGCTTCTCCTGAATCAAGGCTTAAAACTTAAGCCAACTTCAACTAGGCAACTGGCAACTGGCAACTGCTTCGGCTACCTCAATGTAAGCCTTATGTTGTGCCAATTGAAGCTGAAATCCATGTACTTTAACAATATTTTGTATAAGCAGCAGATTATAATGGATGCGCTTAACCCCTTCGCCAATAGAAAATTTCCATATGTTTTGCTATAAATAATAAATAGAAAATGCCAACATTCATTAAGGTACTTAAAATGTGTAAATGTTGTAGGGCAAGAACTAAAGCTTTGTATTCTTGTAGAATAATCGGTATTTACTCGAATGTTTCTATGCGGTATTAAGATAAGATTTAGTACATTAATTTCGGTATGTATTGTACTTATATTGGTGAAATGCTAAAGCATGTTTGTAAAAACTTTTGTGAAAAGGGCTATTGGATTTTTTTTTATCTATTTTGTAATCTCTTTTTTGTTCCTACTTTCTAATATCAAGCTTTTTCAAATTATTTCTTAGATCACTTATCTTTTTGATATAAAATCTTAGTCTTCTCTCCATTTTGTCTATAACGATTTAGTAAATCCTATGCCTGTGGTTTATCCTCTATTTACTACTTTAAAATGATAACAGATTTGACTCTCAAATAACCTCAATTAATGTAGGTCAAAGTAATCTTAGTGCACATGTTCGCAGATCCCTCTTGGCAGATTAATGCAGTTTACTTGCCCTACCATCTCTACTTTATTGCTATCTAACGTCACGTATTTTTTTGACCAATATTACATTTCCCACGTTTTACACCCACAGTGCTTAGATTTCTTTTAAAGCTTGATTGAATTTCCTCTTTCTTTTCTTTAATTTAAATTTACAAAATATCTTGCTTGGCTTAGAAGTAAATGAGAAAATTCTTATTCATTCCTTTCTTCTGTTTGATGACTTATGGTGTGAGAGCAAAGCAATTAGTTAAGTTAATTCATGAATTGCCCTAAAGAAATACCAAACAGTGCCAATGCCGTAAAATATGTTGAAAGTGTAACAATTTTTTTCAAAATAAAAATTCGAAATTGTTATCAGTAAAATAGAAAATTATCATTAGATTTATTTTTTTATTATGGAAAAAATTATAAATATTTAATAAATAATAAAAGTAATATAAGAGTAGATATATGATAAATGCAACAGATTATAACACCTACACTTAAGAACAATCTCTTCATTCTAGTATTCCTTCCTTGTAGTATTAAAAACGTAAAAATTGCTGACTAATGTAATTCATAAATAGACTACAATTAAAATACTATGATTTGACTAATTTTCATATGAACAACACATTACAGTAATGTATTATGTATCTAGAAACAATTTCCAAGTTAAAAGCCATTTACTGTTAATCAAAATTGTATTATCAACTACAGTCAGTGAAGCCTCTTTAAAACATTTACACATTCATGACGAATAAGTTGTTAAATAATTTGCAGTATTTATCTATAAATTTCTTATTTAATTGAATTGTTTGCGCTCAACTAATTGCAAATGCATTTCACACTTGCCAGCATGCTCCAAATGTCTTAAATGGTTGACAAACACATTAATGCTCTAAGGATATAAATTGATATAGATATAGATATGTGTGTACTTAGATATTTCTCACATATATTTTTTTCTTGTTTCTTAATTAAAGACATTCCGTGAATTGCTGCAGAGCTTGCTGGCCCTGCAGAAGCTGAAGGATGATGACAACGCGCGTGGACTGTTCGATATGTTATTGAACAATGTGTGCTATGTGCTGGAGTATAGGGAGACAATACTGCATTTGTTAATGAACTACAATGAGGCGCACAGCACAAAGTGAGTAACCAAGCACATAACTATCGGTGAGCCCTTAAAGCATATTGGAAATAACTTGAAAGGCATGCCAGACAGGCAGCCGGCCAGCAGGAGGCGTCGGGCGCCCATGCCTGATTGCTACTACTCCTGCCGTTGCTGCTGGTGTTGCATGTTTGATGGGAGATTGAGCCTTGATGGTCACAAATAACTAAGGCAAACACACTGACACTCGCACTCGCAGTCACACTCACACTCAGTGGATAGCAGCTGCTTAATAGGATTACCAAGTGGAGCTGCTGCTAAGCCGAAAATATGTATGCAGCTACTAACTGGCATTCGAAGCTGAGTGCTTGGCTAAAGCCTTTCGACCCAATCGACAATCAGGCATTGTTTGTCTTGACGGCATGCCTTTGTCTTAAGTCTTGGCATGTTTGTTTGGCTATTTGCGCAGCTGTCTGTCCCTGTGTGTGTCTGCGGGTGTGTGTGCACTTACAACAACAACAACAACAACAACAAATGAACTAGTTGCGCTTTGAATTTCGACAGCCAGCGAAAACTTTAATTGATTTTACAAGCATGTGCTGCACGCGTGCTCTGGCATTAAAATTATAGAATTTGCCAGCTCACATAGTTGGGTGGATTGGGTTGGCTTTGGCCGGTCGATGTGAGCGAGATTCTGGCACACAGCACATGTTTTGTATACCCTGTACACTGAAGAAATCGGGTGTTCACTAGGTTAAGTGAGCGTCCGCATGGGGTTAACAGATCTGATATCTATTGTTGATTTTTGAAGAATATTAAAAAACTTGTACTGTCTCTCTTTGATAAATATCGATAGATATTGAACATAGTGTACTAAAAAATATATATTTAAGTATGAGCTTCTGTGAGCATAGCTGAACAGAACAGATTTGATTGCTTCATTTTTAAATGTTCAGCTCTGATAAATATTGAATATTGTACAAAACTCTTATGGTATGCCACCACGAAGGATGTGTCTCTATGAGATGATATATATGATGTAGGCTTCTATATAAACATAACAAACAACTTTTCACCTTAAACGTTTGATTTTTTGAGCATGAATCGATTATACATAACCAAATGCCATTTAATATAGGCTCATCCATATAAAAACTTCTAGACTTACAACCAAAAGAGCGTTGCACAATCATCAATCATCATATACATCTGCAAGTATAATAAGAATAATTAATAATAAGGATAAGTATAATATAAGGATTCTGCTGAATGTACATTTCCTGATTTTCGATAAATATCGATCTGACAACGATAATTTTTGTATTTTATCGAGTAACTACAACATTTCGCTTATACACCCATCCTTCATATTCTGTGTGGATATTCTGTAGTCGACCCTGCAATACTCGTATTGCTATTTTGGTTTGGGCTCGTACCAGGGCTGCATTTCAATTAGCAAGTTCATAGCTGACAGCTGGTAGGATCTACCCCATAACTGATTTACATAGTTACTTACACACGCAGTGGGCATGCACTGAGCTCGCTCTCACGGCGCTCATTAACACAGCACACGGTCGCTGCCAGTTGGTTGGGTCTGTTACTCCACTAAATAACTCGACTATGGATCGGGGCAGGGGCAGCAGCACCTCTCGGCATCTAGCTGTGGACCGAATGCGTGCCAGCACTTTCAATTGCCATTAAGTTGTGACGAAATTTGCGTAGTTTGCACTCTTGAAGGTTTTTGTCTTTGTTGGCCCCCGAACTAATCCATTCCATTTAGATAATTGCAATTTTTCGCCTCTGCTGCTCTATGTGTGTGCGTATGTGTGTTTTCAGCAAAGCGTTTTCCACTTGCACATTTCTAAGCGGCTGCACAAATTTGTCTGTCAAACAAACTGGCTCAATGTGGTGCAATCTGTCGATCCGATCCACCTGCAATAAATGACTGGAAAGTGTGTTTTTGTGTCACACACAGTCAACGACTGCAAATCAAACTAAAACAAATGCAAATCTCTACCATGGGAAATCAGCGTCGTTATTCATCAAATTGCATCAGCCAGAACCTTCCGCTCATCCGTTCAATATGCTACTTCTACGGCGTCGCATGCAAAGTCAACGCAATCGTATTTCTTCAACTCTCCTGTGAGTTGCAACTGTATTAGGTATTAATATTGGTTCGCTCTCGACATGACTCTCGTTGGTGCATTTAATATTTAACATGTATTTATATGTATAAATGAAATTGGCAAAGATAATTCAGACCAATAGGAATCAATAAATAAAAGACAGATTGGATTTTTCCAAAGGGCTTTCAAACCTGTGAAAAAGTCAAAACAATCTGAAGATTTATAATATATTTTTATGATAATACTATTATGTTTTTCACCATAAAAGTAGAATATTTAAACTCATTTTAATATCTATTTTATTTTATTATTCGTAAACTTTACAGAGTCGTTGCTGTGCATCAAATTCAGTCATAAAGAATATTTATTTTCAAAGAATCGTAATATATAAATTAATCACCATTTGCTGATTTCGTTCCACTGTGCGCTTCGCACACACACAAATCGCTGGCAATCTGTTGGCAATGATAGCTGGGGTTCAATGAGTCAGTCTCGATGAAGAGCTGGACACAGATACAGACAGATATTAGATGGATTGCAATGCAGTCGGCACGCTCAAAAGCTCCGACTAAATTAATTTAGCGCGCAAACAGGAAATTGACAGCGAGCGGCAACTGAGAAAATGCAGTTGCGAAATACACGACGGACGTAACAAGGACGAACTGAGCTGGGTTAGGTTTAGTTTTGACTAGTGTATGTGTGAGGGGAGGATAAGAGTTGGATGCCTACATATACTTACATAAGTAAATACACTTTTAAGTTACTCAAAAGCTGACTTAATGTTAAAGCTGATTAAAAGTTAAAACTGGAATATTTAAGTATGTTACGAGTAATTATTAAATCAAGTTAAGTTCTTAAATAATTAGGATTACAATTGTACATCTTAGTTATTATCATAACGGATCGTAGTTTCATTTAAAGTAAACTATATATAGCTAAGGTGCTTAATGATTAAGAAGAATTATTGTTTTCGTTGAGTGTGCCTGACTAGCAAATACCATTTAAAATTGTGCTTAACAGCTGGCTATATGTATCCATATATAGAACATTATTATTTGTAATGTCATAAGGGAATCCTTACATATAGATTTATAGGTTAAGCTCTGAAATTCGATACACTTTGATCGATTGTTATCGATTTCGGGAGATAAAAAATAAAAAAATGCATGTATCAAAGTTAAAGTTTATTCTGACGTTATTAAGAGAAGATTAAGCAGAAGATAACATATTGATCAAGATGAGATGGGCACAGAAGAGATGAAATGCGTATATGATGTTAATATCTCTAATGTAGATCCGATAGAGAAGATAATATCATTAGAGCAGGTAGAGAGAAAAGAAGAGCAGAACATATAAGATGTCTTCATGAGAAGTCTATAATATGGATCCTTTAGAGAGATGGTAAATACTGAGATGCGCAAGAGAAGTGTTGAAATGCATATATGAATTCTATATAAGCAGTCTCTAATATTAATCTTATAGAGTAGATAATATCATTCCAGTAATGAGTTAGCCCTGCCTACGATAAACAGGCCACCATTAATAATAGTGGGATATCTGTTAGTTTGCATCTTAATCTTATTCGAACGCTATTATTAACACTCAAAACAGTTGCAATTGCAGCTGTCAAAAATTAGATGGATCGATTAAATATTAAGTTGCAAATTATGCAAATCTATTTTAGAGATTGCATTCAATTAATCTTAGCAATTAGCGATAAAAGCAAGTGCCGTTGCCGTTTTCGTGCTGCAATCAGAGCAATTTGGGTGCCTGGGAGAAATTGAAGCCTTTCGGCATTCGCATGAATTATTTATGAGCTGAGGCACATTTACAAAGTGGGAGCCAGAAAGTGGGTCGGCCTTTGAGTTTTGCCCGCCTGCAATCAGCGCCCATCACTCATTGTTGAGTGTTTGTTGTTGTTGTTGTTGTTGTTGTTGCTGCTATTGTGTTGCTGTCATAATTAATAATATTTTCATTATAAACGTCTTATGGCAGGGAGCAGCGAGCTCGCTAACCATTTGCCCTGCTACTGAGCGCAATTACATTTTATCATTTATTCAACATGCGCTCAAGCTTGGCCCCAGTGAACAAAGCCGCGCCCCAAACACCCACTCAGCCACCCCGTTTCCACAGCGTCCACCCAAACCACAGTTTGCGCCCGAAGTCTTCTAATTAATTCTATGCGCTGCCCAACATTGTTGTCAGCTGTTGTTGTTGTTGTTGTTGTTGCTGCTGTCGTCCATTTAATCAGCGTAAACGCGAATATCAAATCAAGCATGGCCAGTTACAGCAGCAGCAGCAGCAGCAGCAGCAGTAGCAGTAGCAGTAGTATTAGCAGGAGTAGCAGCAGCAGCAGGAGCAGCAGCCGGAGCCGTGGCAGCAACAAGCCGCGTGCATAACAAATTAATTATAAATAATTTATTAACGATTTATCTTTGTCTCATTTGGCAACACATGAGTTTGAGCTATGCTGCAACTGAGTGCGTGTGTGCGAGTGTATGTGTGTGTGTGTTATTGTAGTGGCATGATTGTCGCATCGCTGCGTTTTAGTTGAAATCGATTTGTTGAATGCTGTAAACTGTTTTGGTGTGGCATGCAATTTGTTCTGCTACCTCACAAGCACCTACACATTTATTCAATATATATATATCTACATATTTGCACATACACACACACACAGTATAGTACACCCACATTCCACAAACTGCGGTTGCTTGGCTTTGCGGTCAGCAAATAGCAGCAGTTGCACATGCGACCAGCCCAGCCTCAGCCCCGCCCCGCCCTGCAGTTAGCTTGGGGCACAGCTATACAGGTGTCATCAGCATGATAACTGTGAATATATTGATATAGAGCATGCCTAAGGATTATTTGAGTTTAATAATTATGCTGAATATGCTTACAATTGAGTTGCGTTTGAAGGGCCTGAAAGCGTTTTAATTGAAGTGTAATTCAAAATTGCTGATTTGGTGTGAATGACTGTTAAATGTTTACTTATTACATCATATAAAATCTCACACTGAATTTGATTATCTTATAAATTGTTTTAATTCGTGTAAACTATAATTGACTGCAAATCGATAATTATCGATAGCTGAAATGTAAGAAAAGTTTCATGTCTTATTTCATCAGTTCTTTTAGACGATTAGTTTTGAGCAGTTCCAATAATTAAGTGCATGATTTGACATACCTTATCTCATAATTTGTTTAACTTTTAATGAATGACAACAAATCGATAGCTTTCTATAATTCAAATGTCATTTACTGCTGTCCTAATGCTCGCCTAAATTTCATGTATGCCTTCGCATAAATGCATTTAGTTATGCCGAATGATAAATCGCAACACATCGATAATTATCGACAGCTCTAATGCGAACTAATGCTCGCTTAATGAGTACAAAATTTCACGTATGCCATTAATTTCAACATCCAAACACGGGGCGTTCATTTTCATGCTCCACTTGCTGCCATTTGCTGCCACTTGCGGCAGCCATTGACAGTGTTGTGGTAGGCGCAGCGATTGCTGTGGATCGATTGCATTCTATGCGAGCTATAATCAACGGAGCATTCGATGCAATTGGTTGGGTTTAATGTACAGCACAGCACAACTAGTCGACGTTATCTGGCACAGCCAAAGGTAGCAAATTATCAGCGAATTGTGGGCGTTACCAATGACCCAAAGTGGACTGCCCGAAAAGCGGAAAGCGTTTTCAATTTAAAAGCGAAATCATGTTAACTAAATGAAAACTTTAAGTAAACAAATGGAAAAGTAATGCGGGTTGCTAGTCTGGCATATACCCTGTATGAAATGCAGGAAGTGTTTCGGCTTTAAAAAAAAGCTTAGCATAGGATATAGTTATATATCTTATTTTCTACAGGTTATTTGTTTAATTAGTTTTTAATTTACTCGTAAACCTACTATGTTCAATTTCAAAATCCTTGATATATTAGACTTTGCTAATTGGGTAAATATTCACAGAGTTTTACATCGAATTTCTGCTTACCTAACGCTACCTCTGGGCAAAGTGTGGTTATCCTCTGAGTGTGTGTGTGTGTGTGTGTGTGTAAAGGTGTTTTCTGTGTGTGGGTGTGTGTGTGTGTGTGCCGACAACCAATTTCATTACAAATGCATTTCCCTTGACAGAAACTGCGAGGCTCGTCCTGCGGCATATTGACCGCATTTTGGATTATTCTGCGAGTTTCTAGCGGGCTCTATTTAAATTCGCAATGAATCTGCATAAATTTTTCAACCAAATAGCGTCGTCTTGTTAATACCCTAACTATTGATAATTATATGCAGATTGATGAGCATAATAGCATATAAATATTATTATGCAAACCTGAATATATAAATAACTAAACGAGTGCTTCAAATCAATACAAAAATAATATTACTTCCCTTCAATCAAATAACTCTAAAGTCTTCAATGCAGGGTATGTTTGGGCTACACACATATGTATCTCTACTCTATTTGCACTATTTATATGTGCTATATTTGCGAGCTGAGCCCCCACGAATCGATCAGGTCTAGCAATTACAGAGCGCGCCAAAGGACCCCGTGCAAAAGGATATGCCCGCACGTATGCAAATATTGCAAAATCATGTTTGAGGGGAATTTCAACAATAGCCGCGTATTCAACGCATTTATCCGATAATTTTTTTGTATGTCGTTTGGTAATTTGGCAATTTGAATACCCTGTAACGTATGGACTTGAAAAAACTCCTGAGTTAGTTTATATATTATTCATTGGATTGCTGTTAGAGTAAATTGCGTTTAGAGAGGGTAACAGACTATGATATCAATGTATCGAGTGGTTTATCGGTTGCTATTATTTATCAACAAATTGATC